GAATGCCATGAAAGTTCCTCCTGGGAGCAGTAGAAATGTGGTATGATTAATCTTATATAATGTGATGTTGAGGGATTTTATTTTATTTGATAGTTAATTAAGGAAATATTATTCATTAGCTAAAGAATATGATGGCTAGAGCATGCAGTATGTACAAACTCCTCTTCCCCCTCCCCGTGCTCCTCCTCCTCGTTCTTATCCTGTTCTTGCTCCTCTTTCCATGCCCCCTTCTCTGTGTCTCTTTTTCTCTTGACTGAAGGAACATTTTCATTACCTTCAGGCCCAGATTCAATATCCCATAGTAATTTTCTTGATTGCAATCAATCTGTAGTGAGGATCAGTTAGAGGGAATCTATTTTTAACAGAAATACAGGTGGTATGAATATAGGTAAAGCAGAAACATAAGGTATACTTTGGAGCACTGCTATGTGAATATTGGTAAGTCACTGGGTACTATTATATTTTAAAGATACCAGGACAAAAAAATCATAAGTGGGGGAAAAGTTTTCTTGACCGAATGATACTGAGACAACTAGTTACAGTTTAGTAAAGAGGTAAAGATGAATGCTTAGTTCATAAAAAGAAAAAACCTAAAGGAAATATTAAAGGATTAGATGTGATTGTTACAACCATAAAGAAATTAGAAGGGAATGCTGGGACATATTTATATTAAATAAGAATGAAAAAGACTTTTAAATCATAAAGCTGATTTAAGGAATGAAAAAACAAATTTCCAAATCAAAATATTCCACATAAGATTAACAGATAATCAATGTATTAACAAATATAAGAATCAACATGAAAAATAGTAAACTCACATTTTAAACGTTGAAAGAGACAATGCGAACAATTCACAGAGGATAATAGTTACCAGATTTATGAAAAAGCTTCAATAATAATTGTATTAAGTGACATTGAAGATTTGCCAGTGACATCTTAAGAAGTCACAGCAGCACCTTCCGATTCATCCTATTCTCTACTGCTGACAAGGGTAAGAGGCAGTTGTTGACTTACATGTTAAATGCTGTTGTCTTTTGACTTAAACATCAAGAGATCTATCTATCCAGCCTCCCTTCTTCGTTTTCCACATACATTACCATATTTCTAACCCCTTTTCTTCAGGCCTACCACTATGCTTGACCTCCTTTGACTTGATCATTTTGTTTTGACTTTCCTTTTTGTTCTTTTCCTGTCTTTAGTCCTAGTTCAATCTATTGTTGACAAGGAAGGCAGCATGGTGTAGGGGTTTAAAGCACAGACTCTGGAGTAAGCCTACGTGGTTTCAAATCCTAGATCTACTAATTAGGAGCCAACTGAAATTTAGGTTATTACTTAACATGATTAGTGCCCCCTGCTATAATGTGTGAGGATTTTAGTAGATTCTCTTCTCAAAGGTTTGATACATGGATCAAATATATCAGTAGTTATGAGTTACTTAGAACAGTCTGGCATTTAATAATGGCTATATAAATATGAATTAAATGCATTGATTTTTAAATATTTTCCATAGATACTCTGTGGTTTATTATCTTTATTTTAATGCTTATGATGTTTTGTAATGCAGAAATGTTTCTTTTTTATGTAAATATACTGATCATTCTTTCTTTCTTGATTACTGATTTTTTTCATACACAGTAAAGATTTCACTGGTCAAAGCAATATATAATTTTTTAGCATATTTAATTTTTTATATTGGCGTGTTCCATATATCTTATTTTTAATAACAGTTTTACTGAGATAGAAAACTCATACCATAAAATTAACCCCTTTAAACTGTGCAGTTCAGTGGTCCCTAGAACATTTTCAAAATTGTGCAGCCAGTGAGGGCAATCAAAGTTTAGAACATTATCATCAATCCAAAAATCACTCCATATCTATTAGCAGCCATTTCTTGCCAGCCCATCCCCTCAGCCCCTGGTAACCACATATCTATTTTCTATCTCTATGTATGTGGCTATTCTGGACATTTCTTTTAAATAGACTTATACAGTGTGTGGCTTACTGTGTTTGGCTTCTTTCATTTAGCATATTTTCAAGATTCAGTCATGTTGTAGTATGTATCAGTACTTTATTCCTTTTTTACTGCCAAATAATATTTTTCTGTATATAAATATATCACTTTGTGTTTATCTATCCATCAGTTGATTGGTATTTGAGTTGTTTCCACTTTATGGTTATAGAGTAATGATTCTATGAACATTCATGTACAATTTGTTTATAGACATTTGTTATTTCTTCTTTTGGGTATATGCTTAGGAAAGAAATTGTTAGACATATTATGACTCAGTCATTTTGAGGACATGCCAAACCGTTAACCAAAGTATGTACACTGTTTAATATTTTCAACAACAGCTTTTGAAGATTGCAGTTATTCCACATCCTCTCCAGCAGTTGTTCTTTTTTTTATTTTAGCCACCCTTGTGGGTGTGAGTGGTATTCATAGTAGTTTTTATTTGCACTTCCCTAATGACTAATGATGTTGAATATCCTTCTATGTCCTTAGGCTTATTTCCCATTTGTAAATCTTTTTTGGAAGATATCTATTCAAATCCTTTATCCATTGTTTTAATTAGATTATTTGTATTTTTATTCTTCAATTGTACTTACTAGTCTTAGGTATTCTGACACACAAGACCAAAGATTTTCAAATATTTTCTCCCATTCTGTGGGATGTCTTTTCATTGTCTTGATATTGTCCTTTGTGAAGCAAGTCTTTAATTTTGCTAAAGCATAATTTATCTAGTTTTCTTTAGTTTGTTATATACAGGCATGAAATCTTTGCTCAGTTGTGTTGGTGGTGAACTAATGATTGGACAGAAATTTAATTAAATGCCGTGGATCAGTAAGTGTTCCAGACTTTGCAGAGATGCTCTTTTGCTTTGTGTCATGCATGGAAAGCTCCTACAGGCAGTTACAAGTCAGCCAGAGATGAGAGGTTCTCTCCCTAATCCTAAAATGTAAATAAAATACATCTTTTCTGGGCATACAAGAGTCTGGCACGTATGAATGGCCTTCTAGATTCCTAACAATATGCACAAGTTTTCAGGTCTCCTTATAGGCATTATATTCCCACTTTTCTTTTGAAGATTTTTGGTGCCCCTGTTGTTATTCGCAATTAGTATCTCCATCACAGGAAGCTGTAATGTTAAACAACTACTGTTATTTCTTTTCAATACAGGCCTTCGGATAGGACTGTTTTCACTCACTGTTTTCAGCTCAAATGAAAGAAATCAAAAAATGGAAGTTTTCCCAGAGATGCTAGACTGGTCAAATAGTGACAGTCTCTGGGGATGGGACCTTGGAGGAGCTCTGAATCTGTCCTTCTGACAGGGAAAAACTTACAAGGACAGCAGTCTAGTCCAGGTGGCTCCCTTCTGCTGCTCTTCTTAGCAAAGACGACAGAAACTCCCTTCAGTTCCCCCGCCCCTTCACTCCCCACTCTGCCAGGCACTCACTCCCTAACCTAATTCCCCCTTGCCTGAGGTTTGCTATGCACGTAGGAATGTTACAGATACAGAAGCCCCTTCTTTCAGGGCTCAGACCTTGGGAGATGACTCCCCTCTGAGCCCGCCGGTGTAAAATAAACCCTCAACACTCCCACACCTCCAAGTGCCGCTCGGTTCTTCTGTCAGTGATCCAGTCCAGGTTTCTCCAGTATTTTCCCTAACACTTCATGCTCCAGGGTCTGGTAGATGATGGTTTTCACAGTGAACAGAGTTACAGGGCTGGTGGTTCAAGGCCTCCAAGCAGCTGTGGAGAGAGGGATGCCACAAATCTTGCTGTTCTTACTGAAATTCAGCTATTTTTTGAAGTAAATGCTCTCTCGATTGGTGTGAGCCTTCGTCTATTTTCAGAGTTCTGAAAAAGCTGGTTTTGAAAATTTTTGCCAGTGTCTTCACTACCTTTATGGAAGAGAAGATTTTCTGTCTTCACTCACTGTTGCAGAAGTGCTTCTTAGATTTGGTTTTGACAATGTGAGATTACTTTATTCTTTCTTTTTCTGAAATAGTTATGAATTTGTCCCCATTAATTTGAAGCAGCATGGTTATTTTTTTCTAATGTATTGATTATTTCTGAGCTTTAAAAAGTCCCATTCTATTGATACAGCTATTAATTTTATCCTCGAGACCACGCTGCTTTAATCATTTTTTTAGGTAAATAAATAATAAAAGGATATAAAAATTAATACAAGTGTGAAGAATGTAATTAAGAACTGTTTGTTTTAGCTACAAATAAGAAAAACTAATTTCATAGCTTTATTAACTAAAAATACACAATATTCCCCCATTATCCTTGGAGGATATATTCCCAGACTCTTAGTGGATACAGCCTGAAACCATGGATAGTACCAAACCTTATATATGTATTTTATGCCTATACATAAATATCTATAATAATGTTTAATTTATACATTAGGCACAGTAAGAGATTAACAACAACTAATAATGAAATAAAACAATTTATAACACTATACTGTAGTAAAAGCCAGTGAATGTGGTGTCTCTGTCTCTCTCCTGTCTCAAAATACCTTATTTCATGTACTCACCCTTCTTATGGTTATGTGACATGATAAAATGCCTCTGTGCTGTGTTGAAGTGAGATGAATGACATAGGCACAGTGAGACATGGCATTGGTCTATTGGCCTTCTGAGAATACATCACAGAACAGGAAACCATGGTTATGGGGAGAATTACTATAAATTGAATTCTTTTTAAATGTGGAAATTGTTACTTTCTATTTAAACTCATGTATTTCAAATGAACACTAAAAAGCTACGTTTATGAGTAAGATTACACTTTTTAAACAAAGCATGTCTTTAGAAAACAGTAACTGCAAGTCCTCCAACTTTACAGGGTTAACAATGATCATTTTAATATTTTAAAGACAAGCTTTAGTCTCTTTACTTTGTTCCTAAATACACTTTTTAAAAAAGTGAATTGTCAAAATACATTTTAAATACAAACAGCTCATTTTATTTTATTTTCCTTTTTTTCTGTAGGACTTTGGAGATGATGGGTCCTTGTATATTACAAAGGTCACCACAACTCACATGGGCAATTACACCTGCTATGCAGATGGCTATGAACAAGTCTACCAGACTCACATCTTCCAAGTGAATGGTAAGAAATGTAATGTCGCTAGAATTGCTTTTTCTTCACTAGATATTCAATGGATATCAGAGTTGACAAGCAAGGCAAGTCTTCATTTTTTTGAGTTTTGGGACTTAACTGATAATGTAAAACCTTTCTCAATTAAAAAAAACGTTCAAGTGAAAAAATATTACAAACTTCTACCATTTTCCTCATTGTTAAACTTTACAGAGTGACTCATTCTAATTGGAAAATTAAAGCATAGGACATTTAAATTACTTTTTCAGCTTTATATTATCAACAATTAGGTAACTATATACATTTCAGAAACAAAAAAATTAAGCCTTTTAAAATTTTATTTAGATCCTCTGTCCAGTTGATCTTACCAGTGATACAGAAAACTGTTATTTATGTAGATCAAATTTTATACTTTTAATGGTGAATTTAATGGCTATGAACATTGATCAAGTGGGCTGATATCATTCTTACAATCAGGGTCTTGTTTTATTTTTTATTTAATTCAGGTTTTAGCTATTCAGTTGAATTGATGATTAAGATTAAATGTATGATGCATTGATATGTTAACTTACGATATACAAAAAAGAGGCAGAAGCCTACTTGGTTTTCTGTAGGAACAGCCATTTGGCTAGTGTGGTTAATATGAATTAAGAGAAATGGCAGCTATGAGCTTGGAGAGGTAACCCAGGGTTAGCTTACATGGAGCCCTGTGGACCCAAGTAAATGTCTGGATTCCTGTTACAACTATAATCGGAAGCCATTGAAATGTTCAGTATATGATGTGGCACATTTTTTAAAACAAGTTAACTTCAATACAGTTACCCAGGTGGAGGTCAAATATGCAATTCAGCATATAAGTGTGGAAATTAGAGGACTGTGACAGGCTAAAGTTGTATATTTAGATAATATCAGTGTGCATAGACTGTAAGGCCATACATCTGGGCTTCATGTGGTGACCTTAGGAAGGTGTGTGATGAGTATGACATCAGAGGATTGAGCCTTGAAGCTGAGATCAAAAAGTAGAGAAAAGAAGCTGTAGAATGAGCACCCTGTGATGGGAAATATGAATCCTGGAAATCAATTATTTAAAAATATTGGGGAAAAGGTTGAAAAGATTGGGGAGTTCATGGGTTGACTACTGTTGGTCTTGGTTTCTGGTGCAAAGCCATTTGATAGCCAGACATGCTCAAGGCTTGGAGAACAGCTTTCAGGGAAGCCAGTGAAGAAAGCAGGCAAGATGCAAAGGAGTTGATGTGTGCCGTTCCCCGTGGTCTCAGATGTTTGGAAGTGTACTTTCAGAGCAATTGTTCCTGAAAATAGGCAGTCCTGGGAGGATAGGATACGTCCGCGTGGGGATGGGAAAGCGTTGTTACCAGCAGGGCCTCCCTCCTTCTTTGTTGTGATTGTTTACAGACTAATGACCTATTTGATGAGACTCTTCTCTTCCTTTTTTTTTTTTTTTTGGCTTTGTTTTGTTTTTAGAGTTAGGGAGAGAGGTTCTCCGGTTTTGTTTTTGGCTAACAATGTGTTCTGTCTTTTCTCTCTTATCATCAAACTCACAGTTGTGCTTCTTTCAGTCTATACATCAACCATGAGAGTTTTTGGTAGTTTGTAGAGCAGTGTATGGTTCATGTTCTACCTGACTCAGAATCACATGAACAAGTTGTCACTGACATAGAAGCCTGGACTTCACCAGCACGCTCGGGAAGTTTGATTTGAAATCTGCATCTTAACAAGCTTCCCAGGTCATTGTGATACATGGTAAAGCATGAGAACCCTTGTAAATGGCTGCGCTTTAGGAGTTTCTGCTCCACATTCATGCCTGATACAGGTTTCTTGCATAACTCACTCCTTTGCCGTGCTCCAGCTGGGAAGCCCAGGAAGAAGACTTTGAGCCAAACTGCAGGCTTTCATGTTGCAAGATGCACGCTGAGCAACATTGCAGAAATGCAGCTTTCCCATTTCATCCTCTCCTGCGAATGCACTGCTTACTTTCTGATCTTCAATTTTCTGAAGATAGGGTATGGGAATAAAGAATAATAAGGTCTCATAACAGAGACTCCATTATCAGTCTGAACATTATTAATTAATTTAAAGGAATTCCATATTAACACTGATAGCCTAGGCTGATCTCTATTGCTTTCTCTTTTCTAGAAATGAAGATCCCTGAACTGGGAGTAAAATCAGTTTCTTTCTATTACCTCCTACTGCATTTAATCAGTTTCAAAATCCTTGTTATAAATGTTTTCATGAAAGGATGAGGTTTGGAAAGAGGAACAATGATGCTATTCATTGTTGAACATTAGTTTAAAATGAAGAGAGAGAATTGTGAAGTAGCTGCTGTTACTGGTGGAATGCACTGTGTTTCTTCAATTCTTGTCTTCTCAAAGGAAAGAATTCAGTCGAGAGACCAGATAGCAAGAAAAAGTAGCGAGGAATTTATTGGGTTAAAGAGAAAAGTACACTCTAATGACAGAAGAGCTGGCTGTCTGAGAACCAGAAGCAGCCCTGCTGTTAGGGGTAGTTGGTGTTTATTTTGTCTTAAGATGGCAGGAGGTCCTGCCCTGCTTTTTACATCGTTTGACGGACAGATTGATTGACAGCTCTAGGTTATATAACTTCTTTCTCATTGTGCAGGCACTTTACCCATAGTACTCAAGCAAAGCCCACAGTGGGGCCAAAGCTTCAAGGCTAATAAGATTTAGGTGTCATTTTAGTGAGGTGTGGTTACTTTCAGACCAGGTCTTCAGATCTTGCACATGCCCTGTAATAAGGAGACCCCTGTGGTCTTGGGCCTCTTGACAATCTAGGCATTCTTGACTGTCTGGGCCTCCTGAGAAGCTAGGCATCCTTGACTGTAGACCTGGGAACTAGTGAAGGCTTAGGGGCTGGCCAGGGAGGAGTCTTCCTTGGTCATGGGCTGGCCCTCTCCTGCTTATGTCTAACTGACTGCCTGCCTACTCTAACATCTGGAGAGTAATGTGGGGTCACAGAAGGGAATTTTATAAAAATTGCAGATATGATCATCTTTTAGGCTGATGTGAAGAGTCCAATAAAGATTAAAAGCAGAACATTTAAGAGAAGAAGGGAGAAATTTCAGTAAGTCCTTAAAAAGTTGGTGTAACCTAGCACGCAAATGGAAATATTGGTCTTTGGAAACTGAATAGTTAATCTTTTGAAACGGAATAGAATGGACTGCTTGGAAACAAATGCTCAGGGTGGGAGTGTCTCAGTGCTCAGGAAGAAATAATCCTCTTTGCATTGCTTGGATTCTTGCAATGCAACCAGGAATACCAACTACTGAAAGTAAAGAGATTGTGAGGGTTTAGCAGCTTAGGGAGAGGAAGAGATGTAAAATAATCATCTTGTAGAGCAGGAGGGTGTATAGGGTGTATGTAGTCGGTATGTTGGGCAGATGTTTGGGTATTCTTGAGATGAGATGTATTAGTATGTTTTCCTTAGATTGTAGTTGGCTGTGAATTTGCAATCTTAAAAAAAAAAAGAGATTTGGATTTAAACAGCACTTTGTTTTGTCAGGTAAGTGGGAGGGAGACAGGTGTAAGGAAGTTAAGCAGGTTTACAAGAGATTCATTATATGAAGGGCCATAGAATAAGTGGTAGGTAAGGAAAGAAGTGAGATGATGAGAAATGTGAAATGAAGTGAAAAATTGACTGGGGTTTCCAGGTTTGTCAAATACCACTTAAATGGGGTATTAGGGAGAAAGAAAAGCAATACCTTTACTCAAAGCATTTTCTTAAGGCATCTGGCAATTTCTATTTAAGTAAATAGATTTAAGTAAGTAAATACTTTTATTTAGATCAAGTATATGTAGAAGAACGAATAAACCATTAAGGTTTGTAGGTGTTTAGGCAGTCCAGCTGTTCTGAATTGAACCTGCCAGTTCTGGCCTTAGCTGAATGGGAGAAATGAAGTAAAGAATAACACTAATTCATCAGGTTCAAAGGTGACTGATCAAAAACGTGTTCTACTGCATTCTTATCAATGAGGGAGGACAACAAATACATTTCAAGGATTGTCTTTAATATTTAATCCTATTTGAAGTAACCAAGAAGCTGAGTAGACAATGTATTATATGTGTATAAGTAAGAGATTATACAACCTTTGGCTGCTATAAGAGAGACCCAAAATAACAGGAGCTTGAAGAAGATAACTGTGTGTTTTACTTAGACAGAAAAGAAGCCAAAATGAGATACTTCAGGACGGCAGCTCTGTAATATCATTGTTATTTCTCTGTTATGGTTAGCACATGGTTTCCATTCTCTACGTCATCCATACAAAGTATGGTTCTTTGACTTTGGCGTGGTGACCATGCCATCTACAGCAATTAAGGCTTCAATTAATTAAAAAGAAAGGAGGAAGAGGGGCATAAATATTGGGTAGGTAACTAGCCATCTTTGTCACAAAAGTGTATATTAAAACATTTTGCAAAACAGTAATAGAATAGCAACATTTTATAATAAAACATTTATAAATGTTAGGGCTAGCTATAAAACAGCAGCTAAAAAGTTATTTTTCCCTAAACAAGTGTTCCCCATTCCTCTGGTTTTATGTTGTTTTATATTTGGCATAATAACTTTAAATGTATTATTTTGTATATAAATATTGTAAACATGATATCACTCAGAATATTGTTATAGACCAATAACAAAAGAATAGTTGGAAATGAGCTACAACAATGGAAAAATACAATGAAACTGCAAGAAAATGCAAATTAGATCAGCCAAATAGCACATTTATGGACCCAATAAATCTCTAAAACTGATTTAACTCATTTTTCTATTCTCTATCCACTCTTCAGAAAGGTTAAAAAAGATCTTTAGAAATCAGATTTTCATAGGGAATTTAACATATTTATCATAACAATTTGTCAATTAGTAATAAAAATAAAATATATCATTGATTATCCTAAAAAGCTATGAAAATACCACAAGTTATTGGAATTTGTGAAAGACTGTTTTTGAAGTGCAAAGTCTATTTAAATATCCCAGGG